GTATGGATATAATCCTATCACTCACAATGTTGTACTTCAAGATGGATGTAGAAATTTCTTTTTTAACTATGAAAGCAACTCCATTTTTCCTCACCTTTTCGTCTCCAGAATAATAGATCAAATGATCATCTGACTCGAAATGCCCCATGCCAGTCCATCTCATCTCTCCAATGCCTAGTATGTCAATATTAATGTGTTCCATTTCTTTTTTAACAATTTCTCATTTTCCTACATTCATGGTTCTCACATTCCATGTTCCAATTACTAGTATCTGCTCACAACTGTTCCTCTTCCTTTGTATTTCCATGCTTGAAAGCTCTACCTAGGTTTCCCTTTCTGTTTGTCTACGTGTGTTGTGTTGCACATAGGGTTTTCAGAGGCCTGCCATTTCAGAAGTGGCTGGCCAATCATTCCTCCTAGTCTATCTTAATCTGAATGTTTAGACTTAGAAGAGTATCTGACAGACAGCAATTTGTGGAGTAGTGAAGGATAAATCCCTCATTTTGGAGTTGACCATTAGTTACAGTGTAGTCCAAATTAGGTCTGCCTAAAATCTAGATTATCTTCCTGAGTTCATCACCCTCCATGCTTTACCATACCATTTAATTGCTCAACTTCAATACTCTAGCCTACACTTTCATATCTTTGATAACTAATTTGCCTTAAAAATCCTTCCTCTACCTGGCAAAATTTTACTAATCACAGAAATAAGCACTGTTGTGAGAAAGGGGGGGGGGGGTTTCTGGTTTTGCTGCAAACGTGATAAAACATACTTGGGAGGACAATTTGAGTAAAACTAAAATTTAAAATTGCATAAATTTAGATCCAGCATTCTCCCTATTAAAAAGAGCATGAAGAGGAGAAGAGGAGGAACAAGAGTAGATGAAAATGTCAACATTAGCAAAACTCACATAATAAAAGCTAAAAAAGATGTTGTTGTTATGTGCCATCGAATATCCTGCAACTCAAAGCAACCCTATGTACAACAGCCCTAAACCCTGCTCTATCCTGTGCCAATCTTACTGTCTCTGACACACATATCCCCACCACCCCAGTCACTGAATCAATCCATCTCATCGAGGGTCTTCCTGTCCTGCACCATCTCTCCACCCTCCCAAGCATGATGTCCCTCTCCAAGGACTAGTCCCTCCTTGCAACATATCCAAAGTGTGTCAGACGAAGCCTCAGAATCCTTGACTCCAAGGAGAAGCCTGGCTTCACCCTCTCCAGGGTGAACTTGTTTGTTCTCCTAGCAATCCCTAATATATTCAATACTCTTCTCCAACATCACAGCTCAAAGGCATCAATTCTCCTTCTATTATACCTAGTCACTGTCCAGCTTTCTGATGCACAGCAAGTAAATGCAAAGACTATGATCGATTATCAGGTACACCTTAGTCTCCAGACTGACATTGTTGCTCTTCAGTACTTTGGAGAGGTCCTTAACAGAAGACTTTCCCATCGCAATACGTCTTTTAATTTCCTGGCT